ATGTCGTGCGTCGCCTCGCCGCGCACGTCGAGCCCCATGCGACACAGCCCGGGTTTCTCGTGCAGCTGAGTATCTTGCTCAACGCACTCGTGATATACGACGGTTTGGTATCTCGCCTGCGTGACATTGACATCGACACGTAGTATGGGTAGAGCACTCGACCGCCGAGCTGCAGTCGGCCATCGTGCGCCATGGCTTGTGGCGCCTCGTGCTCCGTGGCATGCAAGCCGCCGCCGTCGACGACGAGCTTCACGTCCACGGCTGTGCACTCACGTCGACGCTGTGCTACGACTACCCGCGGGCTCCCCACGGTGAGCGAAGGACGACTGGACATATTTGCCACGTTGGCGTAGAGGAAAACCAAGGGGAAATGGTGCAAAGTGGCGCTCTGGAGGCGATTCGAACGCTGCTTCTCGCGGAACGTACGCCGAGTGCGACGTACACGCGTGCGATCAAAGCCATTGGAGATCTCTGCTATAAGAATGGTACGCGTCGTTGATATCCATCCAACACGTCATCATAGTCTTGCGCACAGTTGGCAACGCGGAGATTGTGCTCAAGATGAACCTCTTCCCGCTGCTAGCGCACGGCCTTGACGAGCATGCCAAGAACGCGGACGTGCTGAACGCGATCGCAGCCGTCTTTTTTGTGGTTCTGGTCGCCCACCCTCGTACAACGCACTTGGTCGTTTTCGCATTCTCGGTCATTGCACACGACGATAGATGGAGCCAAGTGCGGGATACTGCAGTGCGGCGTCCTCGAGCGCGCGTTGCACTGCATGCAAAGCTGTGACTTGCTCGTTTCGACAGCGTACCATATCCTGCGCCTTCTGGAAGCCACCTTGCGCGAAGACGGTACTTGACGTTGCTATAATTAGCGTCACCAGTGGGCGTAGAAGCGGCGAAAGATCTGCTCATGCATCATGATGGTGCCAATGTCATCATTACCGCGGTCGAGCAGCTCCGCGAGAAGCACGAAGACGGCGTCGGCCATCTCGTGTTCCTATCTGCCGTCATCTTTTCGAGCCTGTCGCTGCACGTGCCAGCAACTGGCGGTGCCATGCTTTGTTCAAGTAGGCGACAATTCTGAGGGGTGGTGGCGTAGGCGGCCGGCCAGCGCCCCAAGCGACGCGCATTCAAGGCCTCATACAGCACGGCGTGCACACGTTTGCGGTCTCGTCGCTCACGAGCTTTTCCAAAGAAACCTTTGTCTTGGAGCAGTGTCTGTGCCTCATGGAGCGGCTCGTGATCACCAGTACTGCACCATTGTGCAGATGACGTGGCACGCTCTTATGCCGAGTTTGGCGTAGACCATTACCGGCTCATGCTAGTGCGGGCGGGCGCAGCGCGTAACGTGCGCTACATCTACAACACCAAGCAACAGCAGCAGCACGAAGGACTGCTCGAACTCTGCGAGCGCGTCATGAGTATGCTGGACAAAGAGACGTCCAATAATTGATGCGAATTGCTTTTTTAATTTTTATTTCGGACTGCAGGTTGAAATTCGGATCGGGCCTCAAATGAGGCAGATTCGAAACACGTAGCATGGAAGTCTGGTGGGAGACCAAGGAAGATTGCTTGTGGCTGGTCTACTACGTGGTCTTCATCGCGCCGCTCCATGCGTTCCTCATCGGCTACCTCGAGCGCCAAGGGAAGCAGGTCACGCCGTCCAAGGCCATCATCTGGATCGCGTCGCTCGCGCTCATGTCGACCTTCCTGCCGCTGGTACATGGCACGGCTCGCCGGCGCGCTCACATATAGACCTCTAGCTCGTGCGCAAGAAGCTGTCCGAGTCCAGCCCGTACCGCATTCTCAGCGTACGGCTGGTACATACCGCCATGGCTCAATGGACGCGACGTGCGTAGGTCACCCGGTACGGCCCCAAGTACGCCTGGGCGCAGCAGTACAGCCACTTGAAGCAGTACTTTACGAGGGGCCAAATGAGCCCCGACATTTGGGCTGTCTTCGAAGCCGCCTACGACGTACGATACATTTGCTGTCATGGACGACGACTCATGATCGGCAGAAACTCTACGACGATGGCACGCGCCGGGCGTTTGACGTGTGGGGGCCCAACTTTGAGACGCTCCTGAGCGCTCACATGCCGTACAACCTCGCGCTCTACTACGTCCTCTGGCTCGTTGGCATGTGCGTGTTTCGCACTTTCGACGCAAGGGCTCACCGTCGCGATATGCTAGCTATGCGACGACGGTCGGCCGCAAGTACGCCCCGGCGCGGGACCTCGCGATCGGCGGTCTCTTGGTGGTAATACGTGCCAACGTTCTTCTTGCGCCGGACCTCATATCTTAGGTCTTCGTGTTTGAGATGAGCATTCGCTTCATGGGCTACAACCCGCTGTTTATGCTCCTCCCGCAGACGACGCCGAACGAGATGATTTTGCTAGTTCACGCGTACGCTTCGAGACGTGTGCGATCTTCGACTAGGGATGTACTAGGCTCTTTCCTGCATGGGTCCTCGGCTACGCGTCCTTCAAGCGCATCTTTT